CCAGCTGGGAGCATTTAACCATGGACAACGATAGAGATATTAGGGGGGGACAGCTCCAAATTTTGGTTGCCTCCCTCTGCCTTTAATTATTTTGTCGACAAGGCTCACAATTCAGCAAGTCAAGGTGGCATTTGAGAGGGACGGTTCCCTTTAGCGTAGCTGACAGCTAATTTGTGGGAAGTTTAATTACAGGCGGCGTTAATTAACTGGCAGAGCGCTGGGCTAGGAAGGCAGCCATCTGTTCCTAAAAAACGTCCTCCCCTTCTGGGCCTGACTGGGAGGGGTGGGCAAGGAAGAGGACAGGGTGTGGGGAGGAGGCAGGGACAGGGGAAGAGGAAGGAAAGAGAACCAGGCAATGAATCACTGCCTTAGCACCCAGATCTTGGCAGTGACAACCGTGGTCCCCATTTGCAGCTGCCTCCAGTGGCCAGTGGGAGTGGCAGTAGCAGCTCCTTGGAATCTGCTTCTCACTGGTTATATCATTAGGAGCAGAGTGTGTGGAGTAGAGGAGGAACGAACACACCATCCTCAGCCAGCACTGGAGAGGATTGGCAGTCACCAAAGAGATTGGGAAGAACAGGGATAGAGCCCGGGTGAAGGATGCCCTAAGCCATCCAGCCTGAGAGAGGTGCATTATCCTGTCTCTTGTACCACCATGCACTCCTTCGGTCCAACTGCTCTTCGTGCGGATAGTATAGATGATGCAAACAATTTCTTTTTTTTTTTTTAAGATTTATTTATTTATTTATACAAGAACCGGGGTACAGTCAGAAGCACAGGAGGGTGAGAGAATTCACCAGAGCCAGAGCAGGGAACAAAACAGGCAGACTGACGAAGTACACTGCTGAGGGGAGCAGTGGGCGCAGCAGGAGATGTCTGCACACCGTGTGAGACCCTCCCCTGTGGCCGGGGCTCGAACCAGCGCTGCAGAGGCTGCGGGCAGCCTCACAACCCAGTGCTCAACCACTGCGCCACCGGGGAGGCCCAATGCAAACAATTTCTGAAGACAAGTTTCTTGAGTTCAAATCCCAGTTTTGTCCCTTTTGAGCTATTTTAAACTGATCAAGGGCAAGTCACTTAACCTCTCTGGCTCTCAGCTTCCTCATTGGAAAAATGAGATTGATTATAATGGGACCTGCTTCCATTTATCTTTCTAGAATAACTCACACATTTTTCAGGCTGCCAAAAAGAGTTTTGTTATGAACTTGGTGCCATTGTATGTTATAACTAGAAGTGGGTCCCACAGAGCTGTCGATCGCTTCTTGGAAACTGCCATTGAAGTGGGATGAGTCTCTGGACTCAGGTCCTCTGGCTCACCATTGGCCTGGATGTTTTCACCTCATCAACATTATAATGAAACTATTTCCAACAAAATGACATTATTTGAGGGCCTGCTGTATATCTCTCCAGTGGGATATTCCTCAGAGGTCAGGAGAAACAACAGCATGGGTGAGTCTCAAAGACTCTATGCTGAGTGAAGAAAGTCATATGCCCAAGCTTGTACCCTGTGTGGTTCTTTTTACATGACATTTGGGAAAAGACAAAACCACAGGTTCAGGGGCTAAGGGCTGGGCTACATGCTTGGTTACTGTAGAGCCAGGTCCAAGGGAATATTTGGAGGAACTGGGAATATTCTGTATCTTGACTGTGGTGGTTGTTATGTGACTGCATTTATCAAAATCAAGCTATAAACTAGAAACACAATAAAGGTGATTTTAGCGTGTATAATGTGCTACAATGGTTGTCTTAAAAAAAAAAATCCTCAACACTTGTGATTCCCAATTCCTGAAAGTGGGGCCTCCCCGGTGGCGCAGCGGTTGAGCGCTGGGTTGCGAAGTTGCCCACAGCCTCTGCGGCGCCGGTTCGATCCCCGGCTGCTCCCCGGCCCCGGAGGAGGATCCCACATGGCTCGCAGACCTCTCCTGCCGCCCGCTGCTCCCCTCAGCAGTGTGCTTCGGTCCTTCTGCCTGTTCTGCTCCCTGCTCTGGCTCTGGTGAATTCTCTCACCCTCCCGCGCTTCTGACTGTACCCAGTGCATGTATAAACAAAACAAACAAACAAATATAATAAATAAATAAATAAAAACATGCCTCTATAAAAAAAAAAAAACTATTAAAAAAAAAAAAAAGTATATCCAATTCCTGAAAGTGAATTCAAACTCCTCTCCAAGTCCTCAGCACCTTACTCTGCTCCCATTCCCTCCCTAACTCCCTCTCCTTTCAATCCTGTCTGCTCAGACTGCTGTTTCCCTACATTTTCCTATGACTGAATCCTTCTTGTACTTCAGATCTGCCTACACGTCACCTCTCAAAGAAAACTTCCCTGATCACCCCTGACAAAATCTTCCAACCCCCATAACCTGCTACCCTGTTGTTCCACTGCATTTTCTTAACAACCTGCAATTCACTAGATCATAAACTCCTTGAGGGCGGGTGTCTCTTTTGGTCACAGCAAGGTCCCTGGCATGGCACCTAGTGCATATTAGGTGCTCATTAAATGTGGGTCATAAGGCAATCAATTGAAAGAGCAAAGCACATGGAGCCCTGTGGACCTAAGTTCGAATCCAGGCTCTGTCACGCTATGTGACTTTAGACAACTTGCTTAATCTTTCTGTTATTCCTTTGACAGATGGAATGAATATGTTTCTTTCAAGAGGGTGTGGGAACAAAATTAAAAAGCACACATACACACCACCACACACAAGAAAAAGTGGGGACGTCAGATTCAGTAGCAGGGAGGCAGGAACCTGAGTACCCTGAACCTCAAGGAAAAGACAGATCATTTCACATTCACAGACCCCCCACCCTGAGGTCCTGGCCTTCTCAGCCCTGGACAGGATCTCAGTGAAATTAGGAAAATTTAAGAATAAAAGAATGAGCAAGTCAATGAATACGCAATCAAACTGCTTAGCTTAGCAATTAAGACCTCAAACACCTCTTACATCTTGACCCTAAGGACTCATTTCAGAATCAACTATACCCCCAGCCTTTGCACATGCTGTACCTACCCAGGTGAGCCCTTTGCCTGCCTGAAGAGTGCCTACCTGTCCTTCCAGCTCATGCAGTGACCCCCTCCTCTATGGATCCTCTTTTGAGTGCCAGTCTCTGGGCTCCCCTAGCCCCAACTCTTCTCTTCCCAGCCCTGACCGTGTCTGCCTCCATCTCCTCCCAGTCTAGGGGCCCTTGAGGCCAGGGCACAGCAGGACTAGGGTCCCCAGTGTTCCCAGTGAAGATGTGCAGAACACTCAGAGCATCCCCGGAGTACAAGCCCAGCTACCTGCTTACTCAGTCTCTTTCTCAGACTATGTTTCTTCCTCTGAACACTGGCACAGTGTAGCCCGTATGTGTGCACAGAAACCTGGCTCAGGACGCAATCAGGCCGTGTGGGAAAGAACACTGCCCGGCACCAGCGGCGGGTGTGCTCGGTGGTCGTGCTGGTGGTTAGTCAGCCCTGACTTCAGTCTCATCATCGAGCCTCAGTTTTCCCATTTGGCAACACTCTCCCTTAGACAAACACAGACGGAACACCACCTGCACGGGCAGGAGGAGGCCTCTGCTGGTGCTCACTTAGAGCAGCAGCCAAGGCAGGGCCGACAGTGCTGGCACAGGCTGCCCTTGCTAAGCTGGCGGTCCTTGGCAGTGCCCGGCTTTCCTGGAGGCGGCTGGAGAAGGGCCCAGGCCTGGTTGCTGGGGGACTGGGGAGACTGAGATGAAGCTGAGGCCCCTCCTGAGAGAGGGCAGGCTCTGCTTGGGGACAGGGAGCTCTATGTAAGCTTATTAAGAGCCTACTAGATGCCAGACCTGGCTGCTTGGGGCTTTTGCCTATGCTGTTCCAGCTGCCAAGATCACTTTTCCTTTTCACTGTGCTAATCCCTGCATTTTCTGCTCTCAGTCTAGAAGATTCAGGAAGCCAATTTCTGGACTGGGCACACACCTCCATTTGGGTTAACACAGTGCCTGGGTTTCCCCCATCATAGCTCTGATCATCCCCTATTATAGCTGGACTATGAGCAGATCACTTAGCCTATCAACAAACACTGATGGAGTGCTTTGTAGGTATCAGGCTACCAGGTCCAAATCCCACCATTGGCCATATGCTGTGTGATCCCAAGCAAGTGACTTGGCTTCTCTGAGCTGTAGTTGCACCATTTGTAAACTGAAAATCTGGAAGTGCAGCTAATAGGGATTTTCTCTGTGCTATGTAAAACCATGGCATGGTTTCACTCAGCACCTCAGAGTCAAAGCCAAATTCCTCACTGAGCTGTACAAGGCTTCGCACCACCTGCTTCTCCCTCTCCCTGCCCTTGTCTCTCCCCCACCTTCACTGCTCCGCTCCAGTCACAGGAGCCTCCTAACTGATCCTCCAACACACCAGCCACTGTCCTGTCCCAGGACTTTGCGTGGACTGTGCCCTCTGCCTGGAATGCTCTTCCTGCTCACTCCCTTCTCACCACTCCAGGTCAGACTCAGTGTTGCCTCCCTGCCCCCCATCATGCTTAGCATGTAGCCAAACAACCATTCCCAGATTCATTGTCCACATGGCCCCTTAGTGTGGCCCAACCCTTCTGAAGGGGGGAAGGTGGGCTGGGAGTGGAAAAAATACTTTATCTCCCTCCCCCATAGAATCAAATCACAGTTAAGCTGATCTCTAAATTGTGAATCCAGCTACAAAGTCACAGGAGATACAAGGGACTGCGGAACACGTCAAATGACACCACGGGACGGGAAACAAAACTGCAAAACCCACAACAGTGGCATCTCCACGGGATGAATGATGCAGTCGCTTTAACAAATATATTGCAAGGCAAAATGAAAAGAGACGGAGGGGAAGCTCTCCGTTAAGAGAAACTTAGGCGGCCATCAGTGACTCTCGACTGATTCACCACGCAGCAAACACGGTCAGGCATCGCTTCAAGATGGCAACACGGTCTGAGAAATGCATGGTTCGGCGATCTCAAGGGGTGATGACAGCAAGCCCAGGGGGCAGAGCCCACGACTCACCTGGGTTAGACAGTCCAGACCACTGGGGAACCCGTTGCTTATGTGGTTTGTCCTTGACACAAACATCCTCCAGGGACCTGTGACAGTACATCAGAAAAGACACAGATATGTGGACCCTGGATGGATTCTGATGCTGTTAAGGCACCGTAATTTTGAACATGATACTAGACTTTGTGGGGTTGTTTTTTAAAGCAGGGTCTCTTCCCTCAGCACCACAGGCATTCAGGCATGGATCAGCCTCTGAGCACTGTGGGGTGATGGGTGACTTCATCGGCCTCCACCCCCTAAAGACTAATAGCACCCCCCCAGTGGTGAGGCCCACAAATGTCCCTGGACATCACCTGCTGACCCGTAGGGACAAAAGCCTCACCCCAGCTGAGACCAGTGCTTTAGAGACACAAACTAAAATATTTACAGATGGAAAACCATTTGGGGTTTGCTCCAAAATAAGAAGGGGTGGGGGAGAGGGTTGTATCCAAGTAAATCATTGTTAAATCTGAGCAGTGGGTGCCTGTTGGGGGAAGGTCGTTTTTCTGTTCTCTCTGCTTGAATGTTTGACAGTTTCCACGATGCAGAGGAGGAGTACTAGGGAAGCTCAAGCACAATCTTGAGTGCAGTTCATCGCAACTTATATAAGGCGTGCATGTTACATCACCCTCGGGCGACAGGACGGGGTGACGGGGAGAGAGATGAGAGCTCTCCCTAGCACCTTTGCAACTTTTCTGTAAATCTAAAATTACTCCAATGTAAAAGTTTATTTTAAAAAATAGTTTAAGTGAATAACGAATGAGCACAGCAGGATCAGTCAGCAGCCTGAGTACCCAGGAATGGTGGGGGCCCCGTCACAGCCACCGCAGACACCATGAGCAGAGCGGCCCCCATCTCTTCACTCCCCCACAGAAACTGGGAGCCAGCCTTAGACTCAAATGGGATATGCTGCACATGAGTGGCCCAAAGTGCCAGAGGCCGGGGGGGCAACCCCAGAGCAGGGAGGGCAAGAATCCACTTTCAAACCCACTTTATTCTCTTCAGACTAGAAACACTCCTCATGTCCACCCTCCCTACCCCAGATCGTGGCCAGCTAGGGGCTGTGGGCCTCAGAGCGGTTCCAGGGGCCTCTCCACAGACTCGTCGACGGTGCCCAGAGATGCGGTACTGCAGTGGCGGTGCGGGCTGGCTCTGGCGAGCAGCTCCAGCCTGCGGGAGCGCAGCCGGGCTTGGATGGCCCAGATGGGGGGCTGGTGGCCAGGCAAGGGGGGTTCCTCGTCACTGAAGCTTTCCACCGTGGAGTCGGAGCCGTCCTCTGTGGCAGCCACTGACTGCTTGCACACAGGGCAGGAGCGCCGCACAGCCTGGGAGAACCAGGGGTCGATGCACCTGCAGTGGTAGGTGTGGGAGCAGGGCAGGATCTTGAGCTGGTCGCCCTCCTCGTACTCGTCCAGGCAGATGGCGCACAGGTCGTTGCGCCGGGTGAAGGTGCGCACCTGGGCCCGCTGGCAGGCCTGCGGCTTGGCGACCAGCCCCCGGGCCCACCAGGCCCACAGCCAGTTCCAGAGGTGGCGCAGGACGAAGAAGGAGGAGGTGACCAGGGCCAGGGCCCGGCCCAGGACCCAGGAGATGGCCAGCACGGGGTGGCAGTCCAGCTCGGGGCAGGGTGGGTAGTCGGGCAGCAGGAGGACTTGGGCCGACTTGTCGCAGCGTGAAATGACCCGCAGGTCCCGCGAGGCGGCCTCGCCCACAAACACCGAGGGGATGGCGATGCGGCGCCGCAGGGCCTCGTGCACGTGGGCCATTCGCACCAGGTCGTCGGAGCGCACGTTGTGCACGATGGCCGCCTCGAAGCCGGCCCGCTGGGCGTTGAGCACCTTGAGGTCGAAGGTGCAGTCATAGCGGCGGATCAGCACGATGGCGCCCAGGGAGCCGTTGCCCGGCCGCGGGCCCTCAATGGGGTGACAGGCGTTGGCTGGCTTCGCCTCCATCAGGTAGCCCCGCACGCCCTGGGGGGACAGAGGGGCCCCGAACAGGGCAGGCATGTCCGCAAAGTCCACTGAGCTGGAGTTGCCCTCTAGCACTGCCCGCACCACCGCCTGCGAGGGCACCAGCAGCGCCAACAAGACCAGCGAGGTCCTGAGCACCCGCGGGGTCAGGGCTGGCCACTGCTGCCTCATAGCGGAGCCTCCCCTCTGTTGTTGGAGCTAGGTCCCGCCGGGGACTGCAGGCCAGAGGCCTTCAGGCATCTCCAGGGCCTCCCAGAGGCGCTGTGCCCGGGAGGGAACAGAGGTCAGCTCAAGTGGGGGCTCAGAGGCGGGTAAGCTGGGTGACTGGGGCCTGGAGGCCTAGGCAGAGGCAGTCCCCGCTGGCAGCGCCCAGGGCATTGTGTCCTGGAAAGCTGGTCTCAGGAGGAAACCCACCCAGCTGGCCTTGCTGGCAGATGACGCTGGGGCAAAGAGTCCCGAGGGTTCTAGATGCCCCCAGCCTCTGTGACATCGTCCTGCTCCCAGAACCCCTAGTTCCATGGAGTCTGGGACCGATACAGAATTCCTGGGTCCCTGAGCAACCTTGGGAAGGAATCTTCCAGAAGGCTCAAAGCACCCCGGTCTTAGGATATAATAAGACCCAGGGGGTGCCACAACGTGGGCTGATGACATGGATCCAATGCTCACTCTAGAAGTGTCCTTTCCCAGCGACGCCCCCAGGAAGGTACCAATGTTACCCCCTTTTGGGTCTCCCAGGAAGTCCTGGACTTAGTCAGTGGATCCTCTCCCCTATGAGGTCAGTTCTTAAAACCCAAGTGCATACCTTCTCCCTCTCACCCTCCTCACTCTGCTCCAGTGACAAGGGTCTCCCCAACATTCCTCCAACATGCCAGGCCTGGTCCTGCCCCAGGACCTTTGCACGGGCTGCGCCCACTGCCTGGAACACCTGTCTCCCTGCAGCTGGCTCTTTCTAATGACTTCGATCTCAGTTCTTGTCTTCAAAATCTAACCAGACATGATTTGGCGGGGGAGGGAGCGCCAAATTCAGGGCCAGCAGCACCTGGTGGGCCTCCAGGCCTGTACCAGCTTTGCTCTCTCCCCTCAGTGCTTCCTCTCCAGCCAGAGCTCCTACTATGCTCTTTTCCTTGGCCAGAGCTTTGGGCATCAGCTTCACCTCCTCCTCACCTCGCCTCCCCAAATCTCCCACTCTCAGGTCTTGACTCCTGGCTCTGCCAGGCTGTGCCTCCAGGAAAATCACCGTCTCGGCAGCCCAGTTTCCGCACTGGTAAAATGGATATAACAATGAGACACTTATAGGACTAGTGCTGTTGGAATTAAACGAGATAATGCACAACACTTGCTCAGCACGGGGTCTCATTTTACCTTTCTCCCAGAACAGACAGGCCTCCAGCGCAAAACGCTTCCAGTTCACCGCTACAGGGTAACCAGGAATTTTCTGTAATGTCAATCCGCTGTTCACTCCCACGCTCTAAACACTCCCATGGCTCTCCAGAGAGAATTCACACTCCTTTCACACATGATCCCCATGATCAAGCCCCTGCAGTTCTCTAAAACCCGAATGCATTTTTCAAAGATTTGTTTATTTATGCATATAAGAGCTGGGGTGTAGGGTAGAGGTGCAGGGGGAGGAGAGGGGTAGGGAGGTGAGAGGATTCACCAGAGACAGAGTGGGGATCAGAACAGGTAGATCTGCTGAAATACAAGAGCTGGGGTGTAGGGTAGAGGTGCGGGGGGCGGGGAGGGGTAGGGAGGTGAGAGGATTCACCAGAGACAGAGTGGGGATCAGAACAGGTGGATCTGCTGAAATACACCGCTGAGGGGAGCAGCGGGCGAGTCAGGAGAGGTCTGCTGCGCCATGTGGGCCAGCTCCCTGGCAGGGGATCGAATTCCTGCTGACTGCAGCTCCTAGCTTCATAGTGCTGAGACTTAACCCCTTGCGCCAGCAGGGAGGCCCCTAAACCCTGAATGCTTGTTAATGCTCCAAATGGATCATGATTTGTCAACCTCTAGAACTTTGCAAATGTTATTCCCTCTGCCAGGAACAGAGTTCTCTTTCCTCAACTGCACTTTGCCAGATGACTACTTATTTTTCGGTTTTCTCAGTTGGTCTAATACCTCCCAGAGTTGCTTTCAGCCAATGACGGAGAGAAGAGACAGATGCACGCGGGAGAGGCCCACGTGACAGCAGAGGCAGATGTTGGAGTGATGCGTCTCCTGGCCAAGGCTGCCGGCCACACCGGGAATGGGAGGTCAGGCTCCCCAACTTAGCTGGAGGGTGATGGTCCCCCTCTTTGCATGCCAGCTTTATCCTGGGGAAATAGGGAGAAGTCCAGTCCCAAGCTCAACCGGTGATGGAGGGTCCAGAGTGTTTGTGGCTTCTGCACAATCACCCTCTCCTCACAGAAGGGGAAGCTGAGAGGCTGAGAGGGAAGGGGCAGTGCCGCCGGTAAGCGCCGGCCTGGTGGGCCATCAGCCCAGCTCTCCCCTCCTCCACGTCAGGTTGTCCAGGCCCACAGAGATGTGTCTCTGGCCTGCACGATGACAAATACCCTGGGTGTCTACTGTGGGCCAGGCCTAGGGCTGGGGATGGAGAGAGAGGGCGAGAAAGAGCAAGGCACAGAGAAAGACAGAGACCAGCAAAGGCCTTGAGAGACACAGATACACACAGAAAGAAACATGAAGCAAGGGGCGAGAGCCTGGCGTTATGTAGTTGTTCATCAAATATTCGCGAAGCGTCTGCTATATGCCAGCCCCTGGGCTGAGCACGGGGGACAGAGAAGTGACCAAGACAAGACCCAATCCGCGCCCATCTGGGACAGCAGAGGAGGAAAACATTCTAACAAATGAACAAGAGGGGCCTCCCTGGTGGCATAGGGGGTCAGTCTCAGCGCTACCACATGTCACTGCTGCAGCCTGAGTGGATCCCTGGCGCGGCAGACCCCGCCTGTCTCCCCGCTGCTCCCCTCAGCAGTGGATTTCGGTCAGTCCACCTGTTCTGCTCCCCACTCTGTCTCTGGTGAATCCTCTCAACCCCCCGCATCTCTGGCCTACACCCCAGCTCTTATGTGCATAAATAAATAAAATAAATATTTTTAAAAACATTTAAGGCACTAAAAAGATGGAGGAGGAGTAGAAGGGGAAAAAGAAGAGGAAGAAGGAGGAGGAACAGGAGGGCGAGCTCTGAGCAAAGAGGACGTGTCAGGGAGTCTCCTCTGGCTACTTGGCATTTCAACCAAGACATGAAGTTGGCAGCAGGAGACAGGGCAGGAGAAGACCCGCGGTCCAGAAAGTGGGAGCGCAAGGTCGCGCCCTGTGGCAGGTGGGGGGTGCGTGTCTGATGCAGAGCTGGAATAGGGGTGCCTGCTGTTCCCGGCGGGGAACAAAGAGGTAACTGGCTTGAATCTGGAGGACCTTTAAGTCACGACAAACTGCTTGCATTTTATTGTAAGCACAAAGCAAAGCTTGAATTGGGTACAAGTCGTTTAGAGGGTAGCTCAGCCCAGAAAGTCCTAGGAGGAGGGTGGAAAGTAAGAGAGGAAGAGGAGAAACCACTGCAGGTGTCTGTGGTGGGAGCTGGAGCTCAGCCCCACGGACACCCCTGGAAAACAGTGCACAGGGAGCACTTCACTGTCCTCCCACTGGAGGGCCGGTCACAGGTGGGGGGCCACTGGGGAGTAGCATGAATTCTGTGATGCTCCTTGCCTTACTTGGGTGAGAGCCAACTCAGGCTAGGATGCCAGGGGGCAGATGCGGGAAGCGCGAGGGTCCCGAGGGTCTGGCTAGGCCAAGGGAGGTCAGCCCCAGAGCCCTTAGAGCTCGCTGACCAGTCCAGCTGCAGCTACACACACATGCTTGTTCCAATTCATTAAAATGAAGTAAAATGAAAAATTCAGGTCCACCACGCTCAACACATTTCAAGTGCTCCGTAGCCACATGGGGGTGATTGTGTTGGCAGCACAGATCTAGAACATTCCTGTCATGGCAGAAGATGTTATGGAACAGTCCTGCACAGGAAGGTTTTAAGCAAGAGAGTGACACCATCTGATTGAAGCTCTAGGAAAATCCCTCTGGCTGCTGAGGAAAAACAGTTTGTTGGGGTTGAAGCTGAGAGCTTAGGGAGGCAGGCTGGGCAAGCACCCAGGCTGGGGGTGACAGAGGCTTGGACCAGTGCAGTAGCAGTAGGGGTGGAGCAAAGCTGTCTGGGAATAGTATCGCCAAGGAGTCCCGAGCATTTGGACATGAAAGAGGAGGGGAGAGGAGGAGAGAGAGGGGAGAGAGGGGAGATTCTGCTCTGCGGCGAGAGGTGGGTGGAAGCGGGGCTGCCATCCCCAGTTCAAGGGCAGACACTGAGCACTGCCTGAAGGGGCCGGGGGAAATCCAGGGGTGTCCTCTTGGCAGCTGGACTCCAGTGGCTAGGCCTGGGCCCAGGGAGCATCGGGGCCCTCGGGCATTGGGGTCACTGGCCAGAGTGGCAGCCACGGGGCCGTGATGTAACTTGTCAGGCGGAAGCAGCGCCTTATCCCCAGGCTCAAAGGCACAGCTTGCCTAAATGCTAACAAGTTTTGCCTCCAAATGGTGGCGGAGTATGCGTGTGTGTATGTGTGTGTTTAATTCTGGAATGAATTTAATTCTAATTCCGCCGACTTTGGGGATGGGAAACAGCTGTCTTAATGAGTTAAACAGTGGGTTTAAAATAGCGAGCATCTGTTCACCGTCTGAGCCAGCGCCCGCCGAGGCCACCCGGAGGCTCCGGGGCTCACAGTTCAGGGGGCCCCGGGTGGTGGCTCTGGGGATGATATGAACACCAGGCAGCTTCGCGCCAGCCCTGCCAAAGCAGGGTCACCTCCCCCTGGGACTTCAGCCCTTCACCTGCAAAAACAGGAGTGATTACCCAATTTGCTGAGTCGTGTGGTGTGCTGGGACCAGGTGCACAGCGGGAGGTGTCAGACCCCGCCCCAACGGGTGTGGCAGGTCATAAACACTTACCACTGCCTCTCAGCGGCTTCCTGGCAGTATTGTTCCGTGTCTCTCTTTATCTGTAAAGTGAAGATAATGGTCATCCCTAACGCACAGAGTAGTTAAAGTTAAATGAGTTGAGAGCAATGCTGAGCACACAGTATGGCCACACATCCCCTGACGATGGGGACATGTTCTGAGAAATGTGTTCAGGCCATTTTGCTGTTGTGTAAATGGCATAGTGTAATGACACAGCCTAGCTGGGACAGCCCTTAGCAGCGTTTTCAGGCTTTAATGCTCTTCTGTGCCAATTGTTGTGGGGCAAGCCCACAGAACGGCAAGGTAGGGAAGCCGAGGGGCCGGGAGGCTGGCAGGCCTCCCAGCCCCAGACAAATCTGTACATTTCTCCCTTTGGGCTCTCTCTGGCGTTCTCTTGGGTCTCGTGCTCTCATAGCCGCTCCGCCGTAGCCGTGCTTTGTGTGACGCCGCCCTTATGGCCCCGGCCTCCAGG